ATCATTGAAAGATTCAAGTGAGCTGAAAAAAATAACATGAAATCTAACAGACACATGCTAATGTCTTTACTAAAAGGCAAAAAAAAATCAGACATAAAGAGACATACTTGGGTTACATTGTGTTGTTTAAGTGTTCCCTTTATTTTTTTGAGCAGTATACATTCATCTCAGTGTATATTCCCCATTGTGTGCCTGTTTACTTACTTGTAATTCCTTCCCCTCCAATGAATGTAAATGCAAGTGTTAAACAGTGTGTCCTCCTTTTGCCCCCATTTGTCCTCCTTTATCTATTCAGCTATCTATTCAGGTTATCCTATACATGGGTGCAAAATCATGATGCACAACATTTTTACCCATTCCCCAGCTTCCTCCCCAGCTGCAAAGACTATAGAGTACATACAGTATGCCTTTAAAATGAATGTTCCTTTCTTCCAGTCATATCATACTGATAATGTACAAAATCTTTTCCAGTAACCCAAGTATGTCTCTTTATGTCTGATTTTTTTTTGCCTTTTAGTAAAGACATTAGCATGTGTCTGTTAGATTTCATGTTATTTTTTTCAGCTCACTTGAATCTTTCAATGATGATCTGAATTATGTTTCTGTCTACCAGAGTACAATACGAGCTATTTCACCCAATTTTAATCTGAAAAGACCATTCTTGACTTGGTTTGCCATTAGGATGACTTGAGTATCTAAATTGTTTATCGGGTCCTTCCCATATTCCATGTTATTTTATATCAAGCTAAATATATTTGTAGCTTTTTGATACAGTTCAAATTAGAAGGTCAGGAGACTATTAATAGGAACACTGCACAATTTAACCTGCTTTAAAATAATTTTTATGAATTTCACTAGATAATTTCATAACAATAGAACTTAGAGAAAGAAGACAAATCAAGAGAAATATTGAATTGACTGGGAGCAAATATTGTTTTCTGAAATTATCTCTTTTTTTCCTTCTTTGGGCCACTGCAACTCTCAGAGAGTGCTCAGCCAGGTCAAAGAACAGTGCTTGTTAAAAGAGGAGTTTCACAAAAGTTAGAAAACTCATCCATTTGCAAACCATGACTAGTTGACTTTTTTCAAAATCTTTTCTTAAAATTAATTCATTGTAAAAAGCTCTGCCAGTATTCCTATGCTGGACAGTCACAACAACCAACTTCTTATTCATTTATAAATGTGATAGAATATTGAATTTTTAAAAAAATGATGCCAGAAATACAATAGTGAAAATGGTCCATATTACATTACAGAAGATGTGGCAGATTTCTGGAGACAAAATGTTGCAAATGCATTGCTAATAAAGTGAACTTTCTCTAATAGGAAAAGGCTAAAAAGTTTGATGTAAAACCTGAGTGATGCATGGCTTATATTAAAGAAGAACTATCATTTACAAAGCTACACTTGCAGACCAAAAAACAACAACAACCCCCTAACTAGGTCCTCTGATGCAAAACCAATACTTCCCTGCAAGAAGCCAACAGCAACACACTGCTGTATGTATGAAGCCATGCCCACGTGGACATGAAGACCTGTCCACGTTACATCATCAGAGTTCAACTCAAAAGATGACTTACTATAGAAAAAAAAGAAATGATTGTAGTATTCCATGCATGAGCTACCAAGCTCAGAGAGCACCAACTCTGAGCTATAAATATTCTCCTCTTTATGGAGCCATTGTTTGTAGGCACTAGCACATTTAGAGAAATATGTCTCTGGAGAAAGTACTTGGGCATGTGAACAAAATAAAACAATAGAAATGTGTTGTGATATAAATACTCGATTATTCCTAAGTATCACAAGACGTAAGAATTCCTATGAAAGTCTCTACAGAGATTTCACATTTTAAAGCATAAAGCTGAAGTATAGAATCTGGGTTGGAAGGGATCTTAGCTCAACCTGTTATTCAGGACCAGGATCTTCTGGCTTCCCAGATAAATGGCTTTCCAACCTTTTGCTTGAAATGCTTCAGTGATTAAATACCCTCAACTCCAGGAGGCAGCTTGTTCCACTGCTTAATAACTCATTGTCGTGAAATTCCTCCTTATTTACTTAATATTTACAAGCAAGTAAAAATGTCTGGTGAATCCCAAGAGCAATATGTTTGCTTCTATTATGAAAATAGTTTGACCCATACAATACATGGTCAGGTATCTGATAAAGCAAAAAACAAAATAGGTTTATGTTACTTTCCTAGCAAGCAATGGTGGCAAATACGTTTATTGCTTACCAATTCCTAATAAGATTGTTACCCAAACATCACTTCCTATCTGAACTACATATGTCGACAACTAACCTGGATACACCCAAAGGACAAACTACTTTTAGGTGCAGCTAATGAGAAGAGGGTGGTAATTGAGGGGTATAAATATTAGGAAATTGGTAAGACTCCAGCATTACTTGCTTTCTTCCCAATATATAAAGACAGAATCCACAAGAGGATTATCTTCATTTGAGGAGGATTTGACAAACTGATGCAGAACTACTGGCCAAATCCTCTTAAGTGCTTGGAAAGTGCATGAAGAGATGTCTTGATTTTTCTTCCAGTTAAGACAGTGTCCAAACTTCCAAGTCTCGGATGACAAATTCTTCTTTGGGTGATAATACCTCATTATTGAAGGTTTCACAGGGGTGGCTTCCTCCATGGTTCAGATCTCCATCTAGCCAGAGTCCAAATTTACCACTGCATACAAGGCAAGAAATGGCATATAGAATAACTTCCATAGCACAAAACCTATTCAATGGTACAATGAGACTGACTCATTTGCTGGAGTCCATTTAGAATATAAGCTTTGCATTTGTTTTCTAAGTTGGGATGTTGGATAGTCCTATGGGGTGATAGAATCTATACTAAATATATAGCGTTTTGTTTTTTACTCCAAGATCTCGCTTTCCTCTGGCAGAATTGTGACATACCTATCACTTTAACACTACTACTAAGAAAATCAAATGCAGAATTCTTTCATACTCTTGGAGACCCTGGACATTTTGGAGATAGTCTCAATTGCATCTCTTAGCATTCTTCCAACATTTGCTGGTGCATGAAAATGAAAAAGACCAGTGTGGAAGAGACAATGCCCTAGCAGGTAACTTTGACAAGTAATAATATTCATAACTTGGCAGTTATTCCGATGTCCAATAAAATTACATGCAGAAAAACTCAACAGCTGGCATTATATCATTAGAATAACAAGAATATGGAGAGAGGAAATAGGAGATAGAATGACATAGTCAACATGATATAGCAGAAGAAAGAACTAAGGAGAGCATGAGAGTGATGACTTGCATTGAGTAAAAAAAAAAAAACAATAGACCCAATCCACATTTTAGGGTAATTTTACTGTTCTAGATCAAATGGTTTTTTTCTTAAAACACCTGGTAGCATTGACAATGTCATTTATGAGCTACGAACATCAAAAATAGGATGATAAAAGAACATGTACTATTGCTAGTAATGGTAGTTTTGGTGAGGAAAAAATAGGGGAAACTCTCTTCCAATTCATGATCTTCCTTAGCCATGCAAAATAGGTAATGAGATTCTCCACAAAGATTGCATTGCAGCAGGCATGCTGAACTGACAAATTAATTTTCTTATTACTTAGCTATCTTTCAAAGCTACATACCTGCCTCCACCAATGGCTAAAGAATCTGCATCTCCTTTCATGAAGAAGGTATTTTTGCCTGACCATTTAAATACCTGGCGAGGGAATCAAAAGCACAGCATTAAGGAGTTTAGGAATAAAACCATATAAGCTTCCTATTCCAAAAAAGATTTCCCACTCATATTATTTCTAGTGATAGCTTGAATCTTTTCATAGTGTGATTTAATAGATCATATCTAATTGTATATCTAGCTATTATCCTCTTGTTCATGATCACATACGTGTGGATATGCATAGAAATAAAGCATCAGAGAAAGGTAGCATGCTGGCTGGACAATTCCTGAAGGCATCCTGATTTATGGTGCTGATGCAATTCACTGCTCTGTGTATGAATGCATATTAACCCTCCCAACAGAAAATTGTCTGACCTTCATCTGAAGATATCTAAAGAGGAAGAACCCATTGTCAAAGTCCTTTTGCTATTAGCAAACTTTTTGCTGACATTTCATTGAATATTTTCCACTGACCTTTTGGGCACATCTTTTCATGTTGTGGAAGAGTACTACTGTACTCTCCTCTAATATGTTTTTCTCAAGGTTAAATATCCCAGTTCTTCAAGCTACTCTTCTTCTCATCTTGTTGCTCCTTAAATCTCTTTCAGGTTGTCTGAATCTTTCTTAAAGTGTGGTGCCAGAAACAAACAATACCAACTTAGGGCCTGAATCATACAGAATGAAGTGGAGCTCTTAGTTCTTCTTGAACTTGGGAACAATATTTATATTGATGCAGCCTAAAATTACATTAGTCTTCCCAATGATATCAAAATACCAACTCACGTTTAATCTGCACTGTTATTCCAACTATTTATCCAATATGTTTTTCACAAATAATAAAGATAGGATATAAATTAAATAAATAAATTACCAGACTGGTTATATTCTATCCCAAACATTTCCATATGCTTTCTGTTTCGTCATTTATGTTTTCTTTTTCTTTCATCTTCATCACAAGAAGAAATTCACAAGTTTCTGTTAAATTTCAGTTTCCCTAGCCCATTCTCTAATCAAAAACCCTTTCAGGGTTGGCATTAAAACAATTTTGGCCAAGTTATATTCTGGAACACAACAATATCACAAAATCTTTTAAATTGCACCCTTTATAGCCATAGCAATTTAGTGACTGGCAAAATTTGCGTAACTATTGTCTCCTGAAGCTGTAAATACAAAAGCAACTCACTTAACATAGAGATTAACATGGTGTTTCAATCACCTTGAGTTGTGGAGTGAAAGAGAACAGAAATGTTTCTCCATTGCCATAAAAACAACTGCTCACATGAATAGTTGTAGAAGAAAAAGCTCCAAATATCTGAAAAAGTTACAGAGGAGAGAATATGTTTCAGCTTTCAGGAGTTTAATGCTGTCTATTTTTCTGCACATTACTCATCATGATGTCATGGTCTGCTTAGCCTATTATATTGAATGAACCAACATTGACTATTTATTAAACATGCTAAAATGCAGATTACTTCAGTCTACGAATTACTGAATTATATTTCAAAGCCATTTTTCTCTTTTAAATCCAGTATCCTTTCTATTATTACAATGTTGTGTACAAAACTCCCTAGAATTTCAAATAGTTGTTGTCAAATAATAATAAGACAGCAACAGTTTGTTTAGCATTAATATGAATAGATTTTTTTATAAGCATGAATTCTTATATTTCTAAAGTGGAACTTGGCTTCCGAATCATCTGTTAAAATAGTAGCTCAGGAGGCAGCTTATGCCTTGGGTGGTAAAGCGAGGTACTTTTTTGTATCCATCAAGCTGATTTGCATTACCTTCAATCTACATATAATGAGCTGTTTGTTTATTTTCTGCTTTATTATTTTTACAAATATCTGTGAAGTGAGTTGGGCTGAGAGAGGATGACTGGTCCAAGGTCACCTAGGTGGCTTTCATGCCAAGGCTGGATTTGAACTCATGGTCTCCTGATTTCTAGCCTGGTGCCTTAACCACTAGACCAAGGGTGTTAAACTCAAGGGCTGCGGGCCAGTGCTAGCCCGTGGGGTGCTTAGATCTGGCTCATGGGGCTGCCCAGAAACAGCAAGGGACCAGCCCACGGTGGCTCTGCCAGTGAAAATGGAGCTTGGAAGGGTTGTGTGCTCCTTTTTGGGCTGCGCCGGCCTCCTGCAACACTCTGCCAGCTCTCCCTCCCAAGCTCCGTTTTTGCTGGCAGAGTGCTTCAGGAGGCCATCACAGCTGAAAATGGAGCTTAGGGACGGTGCTCCCCACACACATAAGTTATATCGAGCTGGTCACTCCCACCCCAGCCATGCCCACCTGGCCCCTGAGATCAAACACAACCCCGATGCGGTCCTCAATTAAATTGAGTTTGGCACCCCTGCACTAGACCAATTGGTTGTGCAGTTATTATATCATAGTAAAGTGGATCTTTCCATTTCTGTTACATATTCCCATTTCCCATTTCAAACCCCTTCTAATGGATCAGGAGGATCTACTGAATATTGTTGACTGCTTCTTAATATTGTGAATGGAGAAGAATATTTGCCTGATTATTTAAAGTTGAGTTAGACCTAGTTAATTAGCATTCTTCTTTTCCATATCATCAATCATATGTAAAGTTGTGATTTAGACCTATTTGGGTTACCTGCTCATCAGTATCCCTGATAACCAATAACACAGGAGAGGCCAAGTTGCTCATGCTTCTATACATGGTCTTCAGACTAAATCCGTCCCTTGCTGTGCAGTAGACAAGGTTCCAAGGATAGGCAGTCACTCGCAGAGGGAGATGTGGAGTTAGCTGAGAGGGACCATATAAACAAGATCAATTTTTCACATCTTGCCCTGTAACAACTCTTATTTTCCTTTGATTAGCTTTTCCTTCTCAGTTTGTTCATCTTTGGAAATGTTGCACTAGAATCAGCATGTTCTTTGCAGGCTGCAAATTATGAAACACATAACTAAAAATGAGATTCCCTCATCCAGCTTCTGGATGGTACCTAAGCAAAGTAAATATTCAATCTTTGCCAGAAACTACATCAGTCCTACCAGGGAAATTTGGTATCAGAGAACAAAATGGCTGGATTTACCTACCAGGCTAAATCATTGTTTAACCAAAGTTGAGTGAATACATCTCAATTTACACCCTAAACCATCAGCACCTAAGTCAAAAAACAATGGCTTACAAAGTACAATGGTTGGAGTCACACAATGTAGCTTCGACAAGCTACATTGTGGCTTCGCATAATGTTTGAACCCAGTTAAAGTGTTGATAAAACTTGCATCACCTAATACATTGTCTGGAGGAAATGGGCTTTTTCTATGCAATTTCCAGAGACAACAGCAAAGAGGCTAAGGTATAATATCCAGCTATTCCCATGAAAAGTGTAAAATTCCAAGATATACAGAGAAAATTTATTTACCTGTTGGATTTCTTCTGTTTGCAAGATGTTACTTTGAGCATTCAGTATAGGCTCATTCAATTCTTCTGCAACTTGGGATGGAACATCTGCATTTGTCCTGACTGAGTCTAGCCCATCAGCTTCCTCTTCAGGTTCTAGAGACAAAGTTTCATCGCCCAGATTGGGCTGGCAAAAAAACAACATCATTAAATAAGGTGAGAATTCTCTTTTCCTACCTGGCCTATAGAACATCTCCCATTAAATAGTTGGATAAATCAGCCTATATTCCAAAAGGCAATGACATTTACATGAAGTTAGTGAAATGAGTAATTTGTCCATAACAAGCCATTTTAAAAAGTGTTGTAAACTCAATTCAACAAGATATCCTTTTTCCATTAAGCCTTGAATAATCTCATAAGAACGAAGGAGGTATTATGATTCATGTAACATTGCATTAGTGCATCTTTCCTATGGATCTCTTTCTGTAGCCAGAATGTTTTCAAAGCAAGCCTAAAATTTGCATTGGGAATTCTTCAGGATTGAAAAGATTTGCAGTGATAGCTGCTGCATATTCATTTCTCCTCATCTATTTAGTATTGCAATGAGATTTCTGCACAGAATGACTAAAACTTTTTTCCAACCTTAGAAACATGCCATTCATCTGAAAGACATTACAAATATTATTAAGACTTGTGTGTTAACTTCCATTGGCAGGATGGAGGAGGACTTTAATACTTGACGTTGGAAGACAATTAACAATTCTTCTATGGACTGTTAATATCTAATTCTGTTAGCTGTCCTTCTGAAATTCTTATCTCCTTTTTTCTGTTGAAAATAATTCCATAGGTCAATTGGTCTCTATACTATACTGAATCAATATATATGTATGTCAAAGGTATCATGAAGTCATGAATTGGTATTAGACATTATTTGTTCTTTGTGTAATAAAAATTCCAGTTACTCTTTTCCCTTGTTTGATGAGTATGGTAACAATCTGTATTTCCTGACTGTATCATTTAAGAATTCTATGATGTAGCAAGACTGAGTTACTACTTGATATAAAATATACTTTATTTTTCTATTATGACGAATAAAGTAAACTTGCATAAGCTCTATTTTGTGATCCCATATACTCTTTCCCCCAGTTTTCTGGTTCTCTCTAGCAACAATCCATCACACACACACACACACACACACACACACACACACACACACACAAACATTCACACCCCTCGGCTTTGAATAGGTAACAAGCATATGCATTTCTCACTGAGCTGTTTTCATCATTCCCCCAGCTGCTTATTATTTCTCTTTCTTCATGTCATTTTTACTAGCAATGACATAATCTCAACTTCAATAGAGGACATGATACTCTGCAATTAAAACAGTGGGAAGAGGGGGAATCAACATTCAGAACTTCCGACCATGGAACTGGTTTGGGGGTGTGGCAGGCCTGGATCGCTGCCAGTTCCAGTGACCCAGGCTGCCAAATCACTAGTAGTTCAACTGAATCATTTTGAACCAGTAGGAACCCACCACTGGAATAGCTAATGCAACTTAACCTGTAGCAGTGTCTTATACCCAAAGTCACAACTGACTTTATAACACAGAATTCATTTGTCCAACAGTTAGTTCTTCATGTTCATCTGTTGACTACCAAGGCCTAGCTTCTAGCCTCAGTTGATTCTGCAATGCTATTTAGCCAAAAAATTCCGAAACAAAACCACTGCTTCACCTGGAAGAAGCTTCCCCCATTTTTCCCGTTAGGTAGGGATTATATTATTTGGGAGCAGCCATCTTTATGCCGAGTGGCAATATATTTGTTGTGAGAAAGAATCAAGTGATGGGAGAATGGCTAGTGCCATTGGGTCAGGTGAAAGTTTCATTCTGCTCTTCCCTTTTCTATCTCTGCCCTAAAGCATGCACAAAAGTACGTACCAGAAGAATGTACTGGTAGCGTGGAGTTTTCATTCCTTCTGTGATTGTCCAAACCAGAGCCCTGGACAGGAGAGTTTCTTACCAGCAGAGCGTGTATGGAGAGCAGGTGTTTGCCGATAACCTGTGGAGAACACTTCCCTGTAAACACTGTGTACTTTATCCTTCCCTTAAGAAGTTAAGCTTCCTGTTTCACAAGCGCTGTCATCTAAGGTAATACAAAACAAATCTCTTAAAAATCTTTTCAGTTCTTTTATTTCAAATCTGTAGCTTTACAAGTGTGTGGAAGTGGATCGATTGGCCAGAATTGCCAATATAGGTGGGACAAATTACAAAATTGTTCCCAAGTTGATTTTTTAAATGAGAAATGAGCAGAGAATCTTGCAGAAATGTATTCAGAAATGTAGAAAGCCAGCAGTTTGGATTAGTAGATCTGGAATATTAAAAATAAGGAAGATCTTAGAATGTGCGGAGATGGACCAATTGATGAGGGAAATACAAGGAAAGGAGGAGTCAGAATACTATTTAGTTTGGGAAAAATGGTACAAATGGCTAGAAGATAGAAACAAGAAATAGGAAATTGGGAAATGTAAAATTAAGATATAGTAGAACAATTAGGATATAGAGATAAGATAGGGAGTAGGAAAGAGAAGTTAAGATATATTAATGTAAGAAAGGTATATACAATATAACATAGGTAATATGATTGTCTGATGTAAATGGCTAAATATGAATAATTAAGGACTTGAACACAAAAAAGAGTAAGAGACAAGGTGACCACAAACATAAAATTGCAATGTATAGAAGGGGAAACAGTAACTGTAAAGATTCACCGATATGTAACTGCTATAAGACGGAACTTTTAGTTCCAGTGTTGTTTTAAGTTATGTCTTTGTTGATGTGTTTAAGTGTTTAAAATAAAAAATAATAATTAAAAAACCAGGAGAAAAATATATATGATTTAATGTTTCTAAAATGAGGCTAAGGATTTATCCTCTGAGCTTGTGGCTTGGTTTCCAAACATTTCATTACCAGGCTAAGTAACATCTTCAGCAGAGTTTAGGGAATGTCAGTGTCAATGTTCTTCTGTTTATAAGGGCTTCAGGTGTGGGTGTGTCGAGTGAGGGTCTTGTGATGGATCAGGTGTGAGTCATCACGGAGAATCTTGTGATGTGTCATATGATAAGAGGTTACATCAGGTCAGGAGGTGAACTGCTGCTGGGGGAATTGCGTGGATTGGTTGAGGGTTGGTGCACTTTCTGGTTGACTGCGTGGTTGATTTGGATTCTGAGGGATTCGTAAGCTGGTTGTAAGTCAATGTGTCTGTGGATGGAATTGCTTGTGGAGTGTTTCTAAAATGTATAACTTGACCAAAAGTACCTCTTCCAACTTTTTAAAAAAAGTAAAATGGTTATTTCCCTACTACCTAAAATGTTTGGCCAATTTACAATTTCTAGAATTTAAGAATAAGAATTCTTCTTCCCACTGGATTTCTTCCTAACTTTTATCAGCCCCCCAATCCCATCAACAGTATTTGGCTTTTGCTGAGACTAGGGTTAATCCTGTTACAGCACTCCTGGCAGTAATATACAGTATGTAGAATAAGAACTTGCTGCCATACATCTTTTAAAGTCATTGTTAGAAGGTTGGTCAAGATGTGATCAGAAATCTACATCTATTCTGTTCTTTTTGAATCTAAAATTAATGACAATTGAGATAATGATGTGGATGAGCCACAATATTTTTAGGTTCTGTCCAATTGGCAGCCAATAGTTGTGACTGAGCTTCAAGCAAACATATTATAATGATAGATAAAAAGGAACCTTCTTTTGCGCTCCCTTCAGAGGTGGTATTCAGCAGGTTCTGACCAGTTCTAGAGAACCGGTAGCGGAAATTTTGAATAGTTCGGAGAACCAGTAAACACCACCTCTGACTGGCCCCACCCCCATCTATTCTCTGCCTCCTGAGTCCCAGCTGATTGGGAGGAAATGGGGATTTTGCAGTAACCTTTCCCTGGAGTGGGGAGGGAATGGGGATTTTACAGTATCCTTCCTCTGCCACGCCCACCAAGCCATGCCCACCAAGCCAAGCCACGCCCACCAAGCCAGGCCCACAAACTGGTGGTAAAAAAAATTGAATCTCATCACTGGCTCCCTTGTGCAATCTATCAGAAATGATGGGGGAAATGAACTGTGCCTAGAAGTCATTGTGAATTCAGGCTAGAGAAGCAGCAAAGAGGCTTAGACCTGACTTTGCATTCTGTAGAAAATCCACCGTCACAAAGCATTTTCCATAGAAATGAGACTGGTGAACGAAATGCAACTGTTCATGCTATGAACAGTTCTTATGCCTATCTTGTTCATATGCTTCTTTACATCTTAGAAGTGGGGCATAAGATCGTCTGTATTGCAATTAATGCTAAGTCAAGATCTTTTTAAAAGCAAATTATAGCAGCCACAAAACTACACTATGATTTAGCATTCTAATTTCTGGCATTCAAAGTCTACTAAAATTAGTAAGTTGTATCTTTTGGAATAATCGTATTGGAACTAGACCTCTGGGAGGTTAATTTGTACATTTATATCTCATTAGATTTCTAGGCATCCAATATTAGCATTCTCTATCATTCTAACAACCCTGGGAAATTGGCTGAAGAGTTATGTGGAGTATAAGGACCTTCTATCTCTCCATCAATTCCAACACTAATCAGATCCACTGGCTTCATGCTACATTAATTGCCACAACATAGGCAGGTTCATGACAGTATGTCCAGAGTCCTATTAACATAGGTAGCATGGTGGCCATTTGGTTCTTAAGAAGACATTCACTTTACATACTAAGAATGCAGTGGAACAGCTACCATATTTCAATTGTATGGAACCATCTATTTCTTTTCAAATAATATAAACAAAAGCCCTTTTGAACTTTTGATGAGCATGGATGGGGCCTTTTATTTTGTGGGCCACTCATCATATTTCTGTTTATTTATGTCCTTCAGACATAACATCTGAAATGCTCTTCATCATTGCGGCATTCTAAAATATGTGGCAGCAACAGTGTCAGGCCTGAAAGCCATCTTCCAAGTGGCATAAATGATGAGCAATTCAAGGACAAGATTACCAAAATTTAGCACAAGAGGAACCGTGGCTTCCAGAGTGATTGTCTCAGATCCAAGCTTTCTGGATTAACATTTCAGCCATTGGGGGTCCTTTTGCAAGAAAGTTTATGGGTGAAAAGTGATGGTGGCACTTAGGAATAATTGAGAATAATGGTATGAAAAGAGAATCCCTTAAATTGATTCACAACCTTTCTGCTTATGATAGAATCCTCTGGGTTTTTTTTTTTAAAAAGCTGAGTCTCATATTAGTATTTACCCCAGGAGTATTTGGTCGGCTGCATTCCAGAAAGGTCTTCTCCCCTAAGAGCAGGGGCATATTGCTTAAATAATTCAAAGATGAGTAGCCATTATATAAAAAAAGACCTGCAAAGGATACCATGGAAACATGCAAATTAATTTGCTTTATGAGTCATGTGAATCACTGTCTTGTGGAATCAAGACATGGCCTTTTGAGGTCAGGGGAATAGAATGTTTTAATCTGATATTGTTTTTGTAGTAGTGTGGGACTTCATGGCTTCCATAGTAACCATGAATCTATTCCAATATGCTTTTAAGCACAATTGTACTTTCTCTGAAAATGGAGAGCGGTTCTTATAAATCCCTGGATTACTGTCCTCATCACCTGTCACTATCTGATATGATAGTTGGGCTGTGAGTATGGGAAGCTCTACGATGAGAGGTAGCAGCAGGAAAAACGCTATATGTGACCTAACTCTGGAGCTTTGGAATTTAACTCTGGGGTGAAGTTCTAACTATGTTATCTCTAACATAGTTTGTAGACCACAAAATAAAGGAGAGTTGGAAACAAAAGTCCTTATGTGCACAGAGTAAGGCATGATGAAGCCATGGTACCTCTCATGCTAGTCTGATAATCTTTTGCAGTCTAATGCCTTCCACATAGGGGTGAAATTCAGCAGGTTCTGACATGTTTCTGGAGAACCAGTAGAGGAAATTTTGAGTAGTTCAGAGAACCGGCAAATATCACCTCTAGCTGGCCCCAGAGTGGGGTGGGAATGGAGATTTGCAGTATCCTTCCCTTGCCACGCCCACCAAGCCACGCCCACAGAACTGGTAGTAAAAAAATGAATTTCACCACTGCTTCCATATGATAACTATTACCTGGTAATTCCCAACCAAGAGATGGAAGAGGGATGCCAGAAACAACGTGACATGGGACAATTTAGTAAGCAGATTAAATCTCTTACTAGCTCTTTTACTTGACAGTCTGTACCTTCATTGGCTGAAAACTTGTATTTATCTATTGTAATTCAAAGCAACATATCTTGAATTCTGTGATGTTTTAACAGGTTTTAATTTTTTTAAAAAAATTATAAAATAGATTTTTAAACTTTATGTTCTAAGTAACTTGACATATTATCTCTGACATTGTCAAATACAAAGTGCATAATCTCTGAGGAACCATCAGTCTCCTGACTTGCAAAGGTTCACCTTAAACTTGTAGTTTCTGTGGTTCTATTTCCATTTGCACAAAAAACTGATGTAGTAAAAAAGCCACCATAGAGCTATGTTTTCTATATAGCTTGAAGAATGGTAGCACAATAAATAGTTTTCTAATTGTTTGTGCTGTTTTATCAAATTTAGGGGGCTTCTCTTCATCTTACTGATTTGTAGTTAATCTCCTAATATTGGAATCCTGTTGATTCTAAGATGACAATTTAGTCTTAAAGTACCCATTTGGAAATAGTCAGTAGTATTTACTTCTGTGTATGTACAGTGTCCTGCTAGATAATGGGTGAGGCATGATCTGGTATTAACAGCATATTTTTTCTCCCAAACTAATTATACAAAGGATAATCAGCATCTTAAATACATCCTCCTCCTATGCAACTTAATTTCAAAAGATCTAATTTTGTTCACAGTGTCACCTTTTATCTTCCCACTTAAAGAACTAGTCACA